GAATGTAATAAAAAACAATTGACATCATTTTATACCCAAAATTCAGCTTAAAAGAAATGAGTTAAAACTAGAAGACAAAGCAATGGAGAACAATTAGGACGAGAGTCGGGAAGGGGGAGAATGGAGATGGATTTCAAGGAACCTACAGAGGCTAAGGGAATAGGTTTCTACCTAGACGGTAACTATGGTGAAACGGGGCTTGATGTTGCGTCTCAGCGTAGAGTAACTCATGAAATATCCTGTGATTAAACCAAAGTTTCTAAGTAAATTATAATTCCTTGAAAAGGGACTAATGTGAAGAGAAGGACAAAAATAGAAGTATCCTCTTACAGTATAAAAATCAATAAATGTAATTATTCCATGTTTTCATCAGAGACTCTTCCCCTACGGTCTCCCACATATCCATCACCTTCACAGCTAACTGAACATTGTAACCTAATATTGTGTCTAAGATCAAAGCAATGATGAAAAGCAAAACAAAAGCAAAGCAAAGAAAAATTGTGGCCAGCACTGTCCATCTGCACACCAAATTTCTCCAAGTTGTAAAGATGAAATCTTTGTAAGTTTAACACTTTAGGCAAATATCTTCCACGGTATGGTCTGAACACGTCTTGGACACAGAGTCAGCTGGGGCCCACAGGAGGATCACTTTCTGACCATGATTTCATATGTACACACACACACATCAAATGACCTCAACGCATGTCCAAAGAAACGTCCAACCAAAGCTATGACAGTGCGCTTGATATTCCCCTTTACTCAGCTAAATGAAATAGGATGGAGCCATCAGGTCAGGGAGAAAACTAAAACCATCTATGTGTGTTCACAATCACCCATGTATGATCTTACCTTCATCCCTATAAGGAATCTCCTGAAGAGGAACTGTTAACAAGACAGGAGCCATTAAAACACGACAACCAGGAAATATCCCCAAAGGACCTGAAGTGAGTGCCTACCCATCTATGACTGGGGCCTGTGCGCACCCTGGCATAGATTAGTGGCAAGAGAGGGCGTGAGAAGGACCAATGTTCTTATGTTCAAAGTTCTCACCACATTCTCCAGGCAGCCTATATGCTTATTGGTTATTTAAAATTTTAGATCAAGCCAACCTGCTGACACAGAGTCTTAAAATCAATGACTACCACTGAAACTTAATTTCCAATTGCCTTAATTTAATACATGCTGTAATATACTTTCAATGGTTGAAATGAACAAACACATTGGCCTTCCAAGTTGTTGCAACTTAAGCCCCTTCTGATATTCAAGGTCAGCAAGACTGATGTAAATACTTTTCTCCGTCCTCCAGTGTGCATATTGTCAAGTTTGGCTGAGAAACCAAAAGGAAAATCAGCAACAGCATTAAGTTGAAGAGATGGAGGAGATCCAGTTCCTTAAAAGTGGAGAACCATGTGGAAGTGTCGTTTTGGCGCACGTGCATACCCACCTGTCACTCAAACATTCGTGTCCACCTGACCTCTCCATCGTCCATTGTCAAAGTGTGCACAGCCATACATCCTACCATACGCATAAATACGTATTTCCACCACTTTAGGCATGTGCCAGGGCTACCACTTCCGAAAGAAATACATTCACAATAATATGGTGGTTGGGTCTCCACACCTTTCATGGTTTCTACAGTTACCTGTTCACAGGCAATTATCAAGTATCATTTTTATTTACCAAATACAAAAGATACAGTAAAATCATTAGACATTTTTAAGCTCTAAAATAAAATCAATTTGTACAAGAAATCACTTCAAAATTATGATAATCTCTGAATAATATGCATATAGGTACTTACTGTTGTCTATTCTGACTTGCAAATATTCTCGGCCGGGTCCTATCACACTAGGCAATGTGGGGATTATTTGGTACAGTTGGAGCAAGACCTCTTGAGCATAGCTTTTTAAATTCTAATACCACACAATTCCACAAAAAGGACGAGAAATGTTTGTTAAAATACAATTCTTATTTCTTTTTATAACTGGCAGCCATGCATTCATTAATTATTAAAAGGGCATAAAATGCATCCAGGTTGTTATTTACCATGATAGTGATGTCAGTTCCTAAAGACATCAGTAGTTACTTAACCAAAAGAAGATGGTATGTGCCTTGGAGAGTAACCCTCAGGTCAAAGCCAAAAGCTGCGTATGGAGTTGATGAATCTGTCAGAAACTCATGGTGACGTCAAATTATTCTCCCCAAAGGTGGAAAAATACCAACCATTCAGATAAAGTCATTTGCAATATTTGAATTTCTTACCAAATGCCATTTTTCCCATAAAATCAATTTCAGAAATGCACTGACTTTAGCTCTCAGATCACAACTGAGCAAGGAAAGTCGAACCATGGGCAGTCTCTAAAATGCAACCTCTTTTGAGGGAAGCGGCCAGCATTGCTGTCACCTAGTTCTATTAAATCCAAAATGCACTGTCCAGGGATAGCCCAGACCAAACCTTTGCTTTCCAATGCAAACAGGTCATGCAAAAGGTTCCAAGTGGACACAGAGATTCACGTTTTATGTGCAAGAAGGACTTTTGTGACTTCGTGTTTCTTATGACGTCAAAGGAGAGGAGCCATCGACTCCATTTTGGAGACACACACCCATGGCTCCTGGTGCTCTGCTCAGACCTGCACCTGCCACCAACCGAGACCACAAGGCTCAGTTCTGGGAAGGAAAGCACTCATGCAGAACAGTTCCCCTCCCTACCTGGGTTCAGACCATTCCTCTGTGTCCCTTCACCTCCTTTCCACAGCTTAACCAATAACAAAACATTTGCATCTGGTCCATTTCCCTTAGATTTTAACTTCAGCCCAGGAAAAGCTTGACTGGTTCATTTGGGCCTACTTTTAACCAAATCCAGAAGGCTTGATGTGAAATACAAGGTGCCTGGGATTTCTTTCATGTAGAAATCAAATATCCAAGTATTACTTTTGTTTCCATAGGAAATTTTCCACCTTCACTTTTTCATTGGTATTATTCTAGGCAAAGGACTACCCAACTGCTTTTACCACTCCATCTCTCCTTGAAATCACAACACATCACTAAATTTTGCTTCAGCCTCACCTCCAACTTCAGGAGGATGCAAAGGGCCTGCCTGTGCAGGATGAGGATTCAACATGACGCAACCCTGAGCATCCCTGGACTGGAGAAGCCTGGGAGAAAGCAACGTCCCTCCATGCTGTCCCTCACCGGCAACAAACACTAGGGGGACAGTACCAGCACCCCACACTCCGGACACAGGTGTCCTGCACACAGACGTGAATACAGGCTATACATCCATCGGACAGTTTGTCACACCAATGCACATGACAGCAAGGCAGGCAGAGGACGGGAAATGGTCAGCCATCCCCAAGGCATATCTCCCGGCCCCTTCCTGCCTCCTCTCCCATCCCACCTCACCCTCCCTTCTCCCCCCAGAGCTTCAAGTTCACCCAAATTTGAGTCTCCAGCATCAGCCTAATCAGCTCATTCCCACCCCACCCCCAATTTCCTGGAGACATGTAAAATCCCATTTGTGGGGGAAAAAAGTCTACTCAAGTTGGCTTGACATAGGGAGCTGACAAGACAGGCCAAGACATTCCTGCAGAGATCTCAACTCCAAAAAACGTTCAAGCCGGGTCCTCTCCTCTTTCTCCCTCCCTCCCTCCCCCTACCTTGCTCCTCGCTGCTGCCCCCAAACCAGGCAGTGGGTTCCTCCTCTGGGAGCGGGGACTCTCCTCCACCTCCTCCACCCTCCAGGGCTTTGCGTTTCTTCGACATCTCTGCCCGGGGCTGGGCTTTGGGGGTGTGCTTTCCCCACCCCCAGCCCTCCCCCGTCAGAGAGGAGAGTGAAGGTGGAGTGAGGTGGAGGGGAGAGAGAGACAGAAGAAAGGGGTGGGGAGGAGAGGCCGGGGAGGGAGATGGATGGAAAAGGAGCTGCTGCTTAAAGAGGGGAAGGCCCTTCGGAGTGATCGGAAAGGCAGGAGGAGGCTGGGGCCGGGCGCAGAGAGCCTAAAATCAGTTCATCTACGTCTAGGGGGCTGTTTGCTCGCTCTGACTCTCTCTCTCTCCCTGTCTCTCTCTCTCTCCCTCCTTCCTCCTTCCTCTTTTTCTTCCCACTAGAAGGGTTAGCCCAGAGTGGAGGGGAGATCAAAACCAGAGAGGAGAGGCTCCTTGGGCCCCTCAGCTGCTTTCTAATTTGGGAGGGGGATGGGGTGGGGCTTGGGGGTCCTATACATTAGGACTCCTGGCTCTGTCTGTTTATAAAGGAGTGGCGTCTTGTGGGGGAGCAATGTTTGTGGTGTTTACTGGTGGGTGTTTTCAACGGATTATAAGGAAAATTGGGTAGAATGGAGAAAATACAATGCTGCAGAACGCAATACCGTTGCGGTGCCTTCAGGTGCTAGGGACGCTGGACCCCTCCTCCTCTGTGACATCCTATGAGCCTTTGTAAAAGGGGCTGGGGAAGTGGAGGGAGGGGTTGAGGAGGGGGCAGCAGAGGGTGGGATGGAAAGAGGAGGGGCATCTAGTCCCCATTCAGAAATGAGGAGGGAAGCCCTGAACGGAGGAAGGAAGGTGGGGGCACGCCAGCAGCTTCTCTTGGCCGCCTCCCGAGGCACCTGCGGGTCTAGCATCGCTGCCGCTGCGTTTTGCAGCTGGAAGGCAGGCTTCGCAGGGAACTTGGGGCTGGAAAACTCGGTCCAAGCAGTCGCCCGGAGGCGAGCACTCTGCGCTGAGGGTGGCTGCCGTCTCTCATCTCCCCTGCCACCCCTTGAGTCTTCTGGCTTTACAAACTGAAGTTTCTTCTTTCTCACTTCCACTCATCACCCCTCCTCTAAGATAGACATGTCCCCCAACACTACACACACACACACACACACACACACACTTTTCTCTTTGCCAAAAAGGACAGTGGAAAATGATGGGAAGTTTATTTTAAAAAGTAGGGAAAAGGTTGGAATTAAGTTTTTCTGGCCTCTCAAGGGTTAAATAATAGATAAAAGGAACCACCAACTCACCCGCCAAAGTCGGGCCCGTAGAGCATAGCTGTTTTCCGCTTCAAGTTCGCACATTAAAAACAAGAGAAGAAAAAAAACCAAGCAAGCGGCCAGCAGCACAGCGGGTCCAGGGCTCCACGGAGAACTGCGCCAAGCAAGTTGCCGAGCAAGCCCGGTGGCCCAAGTTCGGGACCTCTCCAAGAACGCTCGCTTCTGCTCCCTTCTGCAGGCATATTCCGAGGCTTCGGGCACCCTGGGTTTGGAGCTGATCTTCTTGGCAAGGGGGGAGACAACTTCAAGCGGTGTGTGGCATTCCTCTTTCCCTCCTTTCCATCTGGGGGCCTCGAGGAAAGCCGCGCTGAGAGCTCTAGGCGCCAAGCAAGACTGGTCCATTGCAGTTCATTCTCCTTGCGGCTGCAACTTTGGACCCACACACCTATAGAGAACATAAGTGCGAGTGTGCGCGCGCGCGCACGCGCGTGTGTGTGTGTGCGCGCGTTTGTGCGAGCGTGTGCCAACCCGTGTGCCCCGCGCACTGGGCTTTCGGGGGTGCGTGTGCTCTAAGGAAAGACTCTCCCTGGCTGCCTGGAACTTGGAGAGTTTTCCTTTAAGCCGGCGCTGCTGCTCGGACACCCCCCGCGTCCAACAGGAGGCGATGACGTCTGTAGCCTCGTTGCCAGACAGGCCCCAGGCTGCCGCTGCCGTTCATTGACAGGAGCGGGCGCTCCGACGTCAGCAGCCGGACCTTTGGCAAGGCTGCTCCCGCGGAGACGGCTCCCACCCCCGCACCTGCCAGCCCGCCGGGGGGAGGGGGGTAATGAAATCAAAGCCACCGGGGGAGGGACCAGGGATGCTCTGGGGCTTGGGGCGATGAGGGAGGGGGAGCTCCGACCTGCCCTCTTTCTCCTGGAGCTCCGGAGTTTATAAATAGTGCTGTCTCCAGCCAGACTCCCACCCCCTCTCACGCCCCCGCAGTGCCGCCCGCCCTGCCCTTGTCACTTTGTATCGGGCTCGCTCTGCCTGGAGGGAGGAGGGGAGGGGGCAGGGAAGCACAGAGTGGAAACAGACGTTGCTTCTCTTCTCCCTTCCCATTCATAGATTCTGTTGGAGTCTTGGGGCCGCCGCTCGGCTCTGGGAGTCGCAGTGAATGGATGGAGCCCGCGCGCGGGGACCACCAGGTCTGCGGGGATGTCGCCCGCGTGAGGCGCGCTCCTCCCAAGCAGGGACACGCGCCCTCGCCTCCGTGCGGGCGGGAGGACCCCAAACGACCACTCTTAAGAGAGCAGGGGCCTGCCCTCTCATGCCCCTCCACCCTAGGGGTCTTTTCTGCCCCAGCGATGCTAAAACGCAATACAGAGAGAAAGCTGCGCTCAGCCCCAGAGCAACCCAGAGCCGGGATGGGGACGCAACCTCCTCCTGTCTGATGCCCCGGACTGTAGCAACAAGGGAGGGGAGCGGCCACGTGGCTCAGGGCAGTGGCTGGGGACGCGGGTGTCGCTTCCCTCTGCGCACCGCTGTCAGCCCAAGCCCGCGAGCTCTTTGCTCCAGAGCCCCCAGGCGTGCGCCGAAGACAGGGTGCCGTGTGGAGGCTGCAGGGAGCCCGCAGGGCGGGCTTCCCACCGAAGCCCAGCTTGCCGGGAATGCGTGCACTCGCGCCCCCCGCGCGCTGCTGCCGGGAGCGGTCGGACCGACAGGCCCACCGAGACCCGGACTGGGACGCGGCGCGCCCCGCCCCCACCCCGGCTGAGCGCTCCTCTTGCTTCTCGCCTGGGAATACAAAGGATAAAGTTCTAAGGCGCCCTGCACACCGCAGGAGCTTCATACACGGACACAAAGGCTTCCATGGAACACGGGACACAAATGTGAGCCGGGCCTGGGTGACAGCAGCGCCCCCCAGGAGTGTCGTAACTGATGCACTGAGCCCTTCAGAGCCGGGGCTGGCCCAGCCTATCAGAGAAGGTTGTACGAGTTGTCCACTCAGGAGATCTCCTCGAGCTCCTGCTCCATAAAAAGCCACCCTTCCACTTGCACCCTGGACCCCGGCTCCTCCTGCCACTAGAGGAAATGCCTTCACAACTCCTTTTGTTTTCCCTCCTAAGTCGTCTACTGGGTCCTTCCCATCACACACACACATGCTGTCATTTCTCCCATGGCAAAAAGAATAAAAACTGTTGCTGCCCCATCTTCTCCTCACCCCCACCCAGTTTCTCTCCTTCCGTTTACAACAAACAGCGCACAGCAGTTGCCCTAGATTCTGTCTCTGCTTTCTCTCCTCTCATTGGCTCTTGAACCCACTCCAATAAGACTGTCTTAAGATTTCTATCTCAGCTATTCAGCAAAATCCTGCTGTCACCCAGGTCATCAGTAACCCCACTATGCCCAATCCAGTGAAGGTCAGTTCTCAGTCCTCATCTTGCTCCACTTGCCATCTGTGTTGGGCAGACCTCATGGTTCCCCTCTCCCGTAATCACATCCTTCTTTTGGCTTTCAAGACGCTACACTCCCTGGGTTTTCATCCCACCTTTTCAGCCATTCCTTGTGGGTCCCATTTGTTGAACCCACATCTCCCCAGCTTCCTGCTGTCAGAGCGTCTCCAGGGCTCAATCCACGGCCCCCTTATCTTTGCTCACCACCTGCTCCCTTGGAGGTCTCACTCAGCCTCCTGGTGTTAAGTCTTATCTGAAGGCTGCAGACTTTTGCATTTATACATTTACCCCAGACCTCTCCTCTAAGTGCTAGACTCACGTATCTAGCTAGCGCCGCCACCTGGGTGTCCAGAAGGCAGTGAAAACTTAACATGACTGGAACTGGGTTCTTGATCTTACCTGCACCCCAAACCTACTTTTCCCTCAGTTTTTCCCACCTCAATAATGAATATGTTCTCTTTTCTGTTGCCCTAGGGCCAAAAACATTGGAGCATCATTGACCCCTCTTTTCTTCACTGCTCACATTCCATCTGTCGGTAACTTCTGCCCCTTCTGCCTTTAACTATGGCCAGGCTCCAAGTCCCTGCCACCACCACCCCACTGACACCACCCCAATCCCACTGCCTCCTGTCTGAGCTGTTGCTGTCGCCTCCTGGCTCCTCTCCCTGCTCTGCCCATGCCCCCCTTCACCCTATTCTTGCCAGGACAGTCCTGTTAAAATGCGAGATCACGTCTTTCTCTACTAAAAACCCTCCAGTGGCTTCCCAACTTCCCCGAGTAAAAGCCAAATGCCCTATAGTGATCTACAAGCCCTTTGGCCTCTCTGGCCTTACGCCTCTTACTTCCCTGCTCCCTTATCACCAGCCCCACAGGCCTTTTCTCAAACCCATTCAGCCTTGCACCTGCTGACCCCTCTCCGGACCCTTCTCTGCTGAACACACAGGGCTTGTTCTCTTCCTCCTCCTCATCTTTACTCGGGGGCGTCCTGGGAGAAGTCTCCAGAGACCACCACACAGAAAACGTCAAGACCCCTCCTGTCCCGGTCCTTGCTTCATAGTCCTCCTTGCGGTACTTACGGTTGACTTGTTTGCCTTCTCTGTTCCATCTCCCCACTAAAATGCAAGCTTCATGAGGACGGAGAGTTTTGCTTTTGCTTATAATCTCATAAAAGCTAGACTGAGCCTCACAGAAGTCCTTCCCCTCACTACACATTCAGGAGATGCTTGACTGGTTTGTTGGTAAATACAAGAAGGTGAGTTTGGAAGCTGTTGGAGGGCCTTTTCTTTGCCACAATGGTTCCCAAATAAAATAAGCATATGAGAGCCTGTGAGCCCCCACCCAAGACCACTGTTAGGTCTCTGGGTGCCTCCTGAGGAGCATCGGCGTTCTCTTCCCACTCACTTTCTTCTTCAATTGCTTCTTTCACTCCCTGTTTCATTTTTCCTCTGTGTTGGTCTTTGCTTTCCTGCCCAGGGCTTACCATGGGTACCCAGGGGCGTGCCTAGCCTCTAGGTCTCTCTTGGAGGTCAAGGGGCCCCCCTAGCTGACTTGTGTCCTCAGAGCACCATACTCCTTTCCCTCAGTCTTGTTTTAGTATGTTCATCCAGTAAGTAAATATTCCAGGGCCTGAAACTTTGGAATGCCCAGTCTATGAGTCAAACATTTATTCATTCAACAATCATTTAGCTCTGGGGTTCCAAAGCTTGAAGTGCCAGGATCTCCCCTTGAGGATCTCGGATCCAGTGGTGGGGGTGAGCAGGTGCACAGAAGAGGCCGTGGGCTGAGTGTGGTGCTGGAGGCAGTGAGGGAAGGACCTTGAACAGGAGAGGTGGGCTTAGAACATGTCCAGGGCCACTCACACTCGAGCCCGGCTGGTGGGGGTTCCATAGTGGAGGCTGGTGTACAAGGCCCAGGGGCCTGGGGGAGGGGATGTTTCAGAATACCCATGTCAGGCTGGAGGATGAACAGATGATGAAGGGCCTTCTGGCCACACTAAGGAGTTGGGATTGTATCCTGAAGGCCTTGAAGGGTCTTCAGAAAGAGATGAAATGGTGTCCTATGAAAGCAAATTGGTGAGTGGGTCACAGTTGGTGAGACAAGAGAAGAGAGGCTGGTACACGGATGTGGAGTTGACAGAGGGAGGCAAGTTGGCCGTGTGTAGTGACAGGATGTGGGAGGTGAGGAAGATGGAAATAGTTCTAGAATGCATACGCGATTGCCCATCTTCTGAAGTAGGATCTGAAAATAAGTTAAATTTTGCTGAGGATTACAGGGCAATTGACGTCTTCAAGGAGGTGGACAGGCTGACTCAACTTTGGTGGCCTGATTAATTCAGTTTGAGATCTGTCCCCTACTCTGAACATCTGGAGACTCCAGGTTACCGACCTAACCTGAGCAGATCGGGGTCAGAGCATGTGCTGAAGACTCACAAGAGACTGATGTATAAACCAGGGCCACTTTGTTCATTTCTGGTGGGGAGAAGTCTTTGTGGGGGCTGAGATTCTCTCTTCCTTCATAGTGGCCACCCCCTTCCCATATCGAGGTGATGAACAAGTCAAATTACAGGACATAGTAAGGGCTTAAAGGTCATCTCATCTAAGCTATGGAAGAGGTAGTGAGCTAGTGGTGTGAGCCAGCAAATGTCCTGAGGGCGATTCCCTGACTTTGCAGTCAGGATGCCCCCTGGGAGGGCACGAAGTCGCCTTTGACCTGGCCTCCCCCACACTCTCCCTGTGCTTCCTTGCCCCCATGCTACAGCTTCCAAAATGACCTCCTGGGACCGTAAGGAGTACTTTAAGAATAAACGTCATCGAGGGGGGCTTCAGGCTTTTCCTGACACCTGAAAGGACTCAGCCTCAGTGCGAGAGCTGCCTCCCACCGTCAGAGACCTTTCCATCTCCCCTTTTCTTGGAAGAGTGTTTCTAAGCGCTCCTTGTTCCAAGAAGTGAGATCTTTGGATGATGGGGTGTTACTTCTGACCACTTCCAAGAACAGGTGGTAAAAACAAGCAAAATCAGAGCAGCCTGCCTTGACAATGTGGCCTGCTGGGCAAACACCTTGTCAGGAAACCGGCGTCCCCATTCCCCGCACAG